AAGATAGGTTACAAATATATACAAGATACATATTAACTGGGCTCTAGGGCACATATAGGAAGTTAAATATCATGTGAAATAACTAATTTTCATTACTCTTATCTTGTTTTACTTTTTTTGCTACAGAAAATGAGAAGCTGCATGAAAGATAGAAGGAGTTTATTTTGCTCAGGATATAGCTTCTAGAAGGACAGAATTATGCTTTTCCATAACGATGCGTTTGCCAAAGGGTTTGTTTTCAAAGCTTTAATGGCTGTGGAGTACATGATGAAAAGCCACAGCTGCCTCCCCCAAACAGCTTACTCTGCAGACAGAGCTGTTCCTTCCTTCTTTGTGGATGTGATGCTCTCACTCTGGTAGCTGTGGATTGACAGGGGTGTGTGTGTGGGGGTATGTGGCTTATTTAACACCTGGTCCTTATAATATATCTGACAATTCCCTAGGCTTAGGTGGCCTGTATTTGAGAGCACAGTACACAGCCCTGGCCTGGGCCTGTTGGGTGATATTAGCAGTGCCAGGACCCTGGCTTTCCTCACACTCATCAGAGCAAAGGCCACCGTGTAGTTGAGCTAAGAGTGCTTTTTATCAGCGATTCCCAGACTCAACTTGAATGCTGCATCCTATACAATCAAAAAATATTTGCAATGCACTTTGGATAGTGCTGCTGAGTTCCAAACATCAAACTTTAAAACGTGCAAATGTCAAAAGACAAACAAGAAAGAATTCACGGGGTAAGAGCAGCCAGTAATTCTATGGTAGCTGAACCTCCCCACCTAGACCTGGTACCATTTGGGCCCCCAGCACCTGACCCTTTGCAGAGCTGATTTTCTGTTCCTCCCTTCTCCTCTTCTGTTTTCTCTCCTCTCCTCTTCATCTTTTCCACTTCATATCTATCTATATCTATATCTATATCCATATAGGTACGTATTTCACATGTATCTATATGAGGTATGATCAAGTAAAAATACAGTGAATGTTAGATTGGTGCTAATCCCCCTCAAAATACTCTTCCTTGCTTCAAACACATTTATCTCCATTCTTGCCACTTTCCAAAGCAGCTCTGGTGGTCCTCTTTCATGAATATCTTTTCCTGCATCCCTCAATGTCCAGAGTTGATTCAAAATGTTTATAGCAATTGCTGTCAAATAAAAAGACTGCAGTTCGTCCTCGTCTACCTTATTCTCTGGGTCTGGCACCATCTAATTTCTGACTCTATCTCAAAATTAAAATGACAATGAAAGGTAAGTGTTTTGAATTGATTCAGGAGTCATGGCACAGCCCAACTAAAACATACACACACACACACACACACACACACACGTTTCACACTGATGGCATAGGATCCACTTTTAAAATATTTTATAAATTCTACTGTGCATAATCAAAGTTTACAATATGATGTTATGGGATAGAAAAATGATTATAGTGAAGCACATTAACACATCTATAATTCAAGTAGTTACTTTTTGTGACCAGAGCCGCTAAAATCTACTTATTTTACAAAAGCCCTAACACAATTTTAAATTTTGTGTCCTCATATTATACATCCAATCTCCAGGCCTCATTAGCCTACATATTTGCTATTTTGTTTTCTTTCACCTGCATGTCCTCATTTCTTCTTACCCACATCTGCCTGTGTGCTGAGCACTCTCTTTTAGTATATGTGCTGCCAAAGCAAGCACTGAGCACTCTTTTAAAAAATATATTCTATATGTCATTGAGATCATACAATATTTTTCTTCCTGAGTCTGCCTTATTTAATGTAGTAATATGTCCTCCAGTTCCATCCGTATTGTGGCAAATGACAGAATTTCCTCTTTCTTTCAAAACACTGAATAGCATTCCATTGAATATATTGGATAAATATATTTCTTTACTCTTTCATCCATCAATAGACATTTAGATTGTTTCCATATCTAAGCTGTTGTGGATAATGCTGCAGTGAACTCTGGAATGCAGATTGCCTAACAAGGTGGTGATTTCATCTCCCCTGGGTATATACCCTGATGGATGGATGGGTCATGTGGTAACTCTACTTTGAATACGACTTTCCATAATGGTGGCACCCATGTTGTTCCCCAAGTGTGAACAAGGGTTTCCTATTTTCTACATGCCTGTGCACATTTATTATCTTTTGCCTTTGTATAATAGACACCCTAATAGGTATGGGGTGACTTTTCATAGTTTTAATTTGCATCTCTCTGGTAATTACGGATGTTGACCATCTTTGCACATACCTTTTGACCATTTTTATGTCTTCTTTGCAGAAGTTCTTGTTCAGGTTCTTTGCCCATTTTTAATTCAGTCATTTGTTTTTGTGGTTGAATTATGAATTCTTTTGTGTATTAATCCCTTCCTAGATTTGTGGTTTGCAAGTATTTTTTCCAAGTCCACATGTTGCCTTGCTTGTTTCTTTTATACAAAATATGTTAGTTTGAAGAAGTCTTCTTTATTTTTGCTATTGTAGCCAGAGCTTTTGGTGGGATAGCCAAAAAATCATCCCAAAGCTAATGTCAAGGGGCTTCTCTCCTTTTATAGTCTAGGAGGTTTTTTGTAATGGCTTCTCATCTTCATTTAGATCTTTCAACCACTTTGAGTTGATTTTTGAGAGTAGTAGTTGGCATGTAGGATTCAGTTTTTCCAGCATCATTCACTGAAATGATTACCCATTCCTTACTGTATCTTTTTTTGGCTCCCTTGTTGATAACTAGTTGATCCTATGTTTGGATTTATTTATCTCACTTTTGTTGGTCTATGCTTCTTTTTTCAATTTTAGTTTATTAGTACACGTGTGGAGTACAGAATGTTTACATTCCTTGCAGGAAGTTGATGCCTGTACATACCACATCTTAATTCCTTTCTTATCCCCTTCCCTCTCTCGCCCCTCTACCCATTCCTGGTTCCCCTTCCCCCTTTTTATTTTTATTTTTTTTGGTACACGTTTGCACTACATAATGTTGACGTTCCTTGTGTGGAATGTTGTGCCACTACCATACTTAAACCAGATTTTAAACGTAGTTGTTTAATACTCTTAAAAACAATTAATACAGTTAACATGTATTTTGTTGCCATTCACCAGGCACTGTAATGGATTCCCAAAGCAAAGCCAAGTGCCTGTACTGGAGGAGCTTCTAAGTTTAGAGAAAGTCGGACGTGCACACCACCAATCACATTAGAATGCAAAGGACAGTTATCCTGGAGGTAGGTGTCAAAAGAATGCAACTGGAAATAAGGGAAGGAACGCTTAGGCCTGCCACATCAAACAGCCATTACTCACTGTGGGGCAGGCCTGTCAGCGCATGCTGTCATTCTTGCTATTGGAGCATCACTAACGTACTGCATTGAACCCTGGGAAGTGATATTGAGCCCAACGTAGAGGGTTCCTAGCTGCTACTTTACAATTTTGTTTTCAAGTCATCCCTTTGTCAATGACTTGCTTATTCCCACACTATTAATCTGCATTAGCATTTTCAGGGAACAGTGACTCCTACTGAGGCACGAACTGTTTTTGAAACATGCATAACGAGGAAGCCCTTATGTAATTCCTTCCTCGTGTCCGGGTGCTCTCAAGTTTACATTAAAAATGGGGCGGTTGCAGAAGGACGGGGGCCGATGACCCCATGTCCTTCCCCAATAGTCTGTTTTCTAATTAGGAACATGCTGTATCTTTACTTATTTTAATTGTACTATTTGTGAAATCCAACCCATGGTTAAAGATATCTAGTTTTACCTAATCAGCTAGGATTCTAATTTTCAGGGAAATTTAAGATTTTCTAACCCTAAGGCGGTAGACTTGCTTCTATTTTATTAAGTTTCCACTGGAGCATTACAGTTGTCATGAAACCTCTCACTACTTTGTCCAGAACTGATCCGACTTAAGAGACTTTAGAAAGTTGGGGATGAAAAAGAGTAGGGGCGGGGGATTATTTCTCCCCCTTTTACTTCTGTCCTACTCTCCACCCTTTCTATTAAAACTTATGTTAATGAATAAGAGCATCTCGGGCGATTAAATAGGTCTGGATTCAAGAAGGAAGACGCTTGCACTTAAAAATTAAACATCGATCGCCACTCCAAGGGGGCAGAACTGGGGCTGCCCTTGCGGCCACTGCAGCGCGCTCGCCGCCCTCGCCGTGCACGTTTGGCTCCGGCCGGGAGGCAGCGGCCCCTGGGGCACGCGGGACGCTGTGTCCCAAGGGGCTAGGGCTGCAGGAACCCCCGGGGCCTCCCCAGGACCGCCAGCGCCTTCAAGGGCGCCTCTGCGGAAAGTCTTCGAATTCCGGCCCCGGGACAGTTTTAAAAAGCAAGGAAAGTTTGGTGTCGGTTTGAGGGCGCAAGGTCCCGGAGGGGCTCAGCCCGCGGACCGCGGGACCCGTCTCAGGGCGCGCGTCCCCGCGGCCTGGAACCCGGCACCCACGGGCGGGGCCCGCGCCCTCCGGCCGGCCGCCCCGACCCCCGCCGGTGCAGGGGGCGCTTTCGCCAGCTTCTGCCGGAAACTGCGCAGGTTCGGGCGTCCAGGGGCCTCGGGGATGGGGCTGGGGGCGGAGGGCGACCTCGGCCCGCTTCGCGGCTCCCCGAGGGCCCGGGAGGGGCTCGCGGGCGCCCCACTCCGGCTCCCTCGCGGGGGCTTGCGCAGGCCGAGGGCGCCGGGCTCCCCACTCCCTACCGTACGGGAGCGCGAGCCCCGACCCTCGCGGCGGGCGCACACCTGTCCCGGGCCCCTCCAACTTCGGGGGAGGGCGCCCGACTCGGCGCCCCGCCGCCCCCGGCGCCCGTTCGCGGAGAGCGCGGTCTCGGGGCTCGGGTCCAGCGACGGTTCCGACCGGCCCGGCCCCGCGGAAACACGCGCGCGCCCACCCCGCGTCCCCGCGTCCCCGCGCCGCGCCGCCTCCGACCCGCCTCCGCCTCGCCTGCGGGGAGCGCTGACGTCAGGACTGCAGTCCCGGGGAGAGCGGCTCCGCGCCCCGCGCCTCAGCGCCAGAGCTGCGCTGAGAGTCGTCCCGGAGGACGGGCGGGTCCGCGGGCCGGGCCGGGCCGCACGGAAGCCGAGAGTCGGACGGAGGCGGCCCAAGCGGGAGCGGCGCAGCCTCGGGGCCGCTGCGGGAGGCGGCTCGGCCCCGGCCAGGGCGGCCGCTCCCCCGGATCCGGGCCGGCGGCGGAGCCGCTTCCCCCGCGCCGCCCTCCGCGGCTGCGCTGCGCGGACGTGGGGCTCCGGGTGCCGCGGAGCAGCTGCCGGCGAGAGAGCAAGCGGAGCCCGGCCTGAAGTAAGTGCGGCCGAAGTTTGCGCCGGCGCCCGCCGCTCACGGCTCGAGTGGGAGACGCGGTCCCGCTGCTGCCCCAGGCCGGGCGCAGAGCGAGGCTCGCGGGGGCACGGACAGGGCGAGAGGCGGGGACCCCGGAGAGGGCAGCCCAGGTGCGCGCGAGCAGCCCGCCCGCGACCTCGGCGGGCCAGGCCGGGCCGGGGGGCGAGGCCGGGGGGCGAGGCCGGGGGGGTGGGGGGGTCCGGGCCCGGGGCTCCAGAGCTGCCAGGCCGTCCGGGCTGCGCGGAGGCGGGCGGGTGAGGACGCGGGCCGCTGCCGCCTTCGGAGCCCCAGTCAATGTCCCTGCCCTTGGGCGGCGTCTCTGGGGGCGACCTCGGTCCGGGAGCGGGGACCGAGGCGGCCGCTGGCCCGGCTGCCGCCCCCTGGCGCCCCTGCGTCCCGCGAAGCCCTGGGAGCTCCCTGGGCTGCGGGCCCGGAGGGACCCGGGCTCCCTCTCGCTTCCAGGGCGCGATCCGCTCTTCAGCTCCCTCTTGTCCCACTGATCCCCCCGGAGGTTTCATTCCGTAACGGACCAAACTTCTAAATGGTTAATAAAAGGAGAGAGGAAAGAGAGAAAGAAAGTTCCAGGGAGCCGCGCTCCGGCTCCTGTCGGCTCAGAGGCCTGCAGAGGGCGGGCGAGGACGGGGAGGAGAGGCGGCTGGGCCGCGCTGGGCTCCGCAGGGTTCCAGGGACTCTGTCTGAAGGTGAGGAAGAAAAGATTCCGGCAAGACAGCAAGGACACTAACACTGTCCGTGCCCGGAACCCAAAAGCCCATTTAGCTTTCGGTCCCGAGGCCTGCACTTTGGGGGGCGGGGGGTAGTGTATTTAGAATAATGATCCCAATGACTTTTTAAAAAGTCAATCAAAATGGATACAAGTCACCCGGTTCCAGCCAGCCAGCCAGCCAGCCAGAACATGCATGGGGCTCAACTGTTTGTGATGAGTTGTGTTAGGTGATGGGGCAAAACCTGATCCATGTGTGGTCTCAGAGCTCTGGGAGGTGACAGTGAGTGAGGGAAGTGTTCTGGAAAGAATCGAAAAAAAGACACGCTCCACAGAGGGTACAGGTGCTGCCTGGTTTTACCCAGAGTGAGTCACTCCCCACCCAACGCCTGCTAGACTCCATACTCCCTGGGGGCGGGCACCCGCCATTCATCTTGGGTGCCCAAGGCCACACTGCCTGTGCCAGGCACATCATGGGTCCTCAACGAGTACCATCAAGTAGATAAATGCACGATGCACTGTTCATGGTCAGAAGCATGCAAGAGAGTGGTGACATGCTGGGAGGAGCATGAAAAGGAAGAAGAGAGTAAGCTGGAAAATAAACAGAACTGGAGAGGCCAGGAGGGAGAAGACAGAATTTCCAAGCATCTGGAATTATACATTCTTTAACAGATGAGCTGCGTTTTCCATTTCGTGCAGTGGGAATTATCAACACCCAACTGCGTTCTCTGTGTGTGGAATGCATGCATCTCTGGGGATATGTAAATTTTAACATCTACAGCAAGGTCTCTACTAACTTGCCATGTGGAAGTCACAGGGACAAGCTCATGTGAACATGTTGGTAGCATGATGACTTGGACATGTCTTGGGCGGTGGAACAGATTGGTGATAAAAATACTTTAGAATCACCAAAATAGTTCCTTCACATGTCTAATAATATTTGGCTATTTGGTGCACACATTTCTCCTCTTGTATTTTCAACAGATTTAATTTAGACTTGATTAAAGATTTAAGTATAGACTTCGCTCATGAAGATTAAACACATATATGCCAGACTCTTCTTCATTTAATTAATTGAGCCCATCATTACTGCCCTTAGGTAGAAGGTAGTAAATTCGAAAGTGAAAGATCCAGGGGCTTCCTCTTCTTAATTTTGTTTTACTTTTACCAAAAAACTCAAGTTTCATGTTTCTTTTAAGTAAATTTTTACATTGCACTGGTTTTTCAGTATTTATCAGTGGTAATAATAAAGAACTCAGTAATTTGAGCAAAGAGTTTATAGGCAGTAATATTGGCTTTAGTTGGAATCTTTTTAGTGCTATGTGGTTTGGGGCCTTTTGTAGTATTTTTGTAAGCCTTTTTTTTTGCTAGCAAGAAAATAAGATAATTTTATTTATATGACTTAATTAGATATTGAAAATCAGAATAGATGGATATAAAATGCTACTTATTTTGGACTTTGTATTCTGTAGTTAATGTCATAATTAAGTAAATCAACATTGACAAAAACTTACGAGTAATAAATAGAAAAAACACCCTGTGCTTTCCATTATTAAGGTTGTATTGACATTTAAAGATATCAGAGTTTTCTGAGGAGTATTGTGATTGTGGACACTTAATGGTGGTTTAAAATTATATATATATTTTTAAAAATTAGAAGTACATGTAAAGAAATACATGTAAAGAAATACTAATAATGGTGTCTAGACTTCAGAATTCTTTAACCAAACTCTGAGCTGTTCTTTCCATTGTGTGTGTTTGATCTGGAATGTTTCGATGAAATGGCCTTTGGAATGGGTCTTGCATTTGAATGAGATTTGGCAAGGAACATGCTTTAGAAGAAAGAAGTGTATTTTGGGGTACTGATGTTTTAGGGGTGTGGGATCATAGATTACCAAGATTAGAATTTACCTAGTTTAACTTTTGTAGAAGAAGGAATTGGGGCCTGGATTGGCCAGGGGTCTCTGTTCCCCAGGATGACATTCAGGTGCCCTTGGGTTGCCTAAACCCCGGGTCAATTTAATGGACTTGCTATCTTTGGAATTCTCATCACTTTTTTGGGTGGTGGTTGGTATTGAACCCATGGTACACATCTTTTCTATGACTTCCCAGCTCACACCCACCTCCTGCCCCATGTGTCAGAGGGAGTCCTACCTGCTAGCCCCCACTCTTCAGGGCTCCGGATCCCTTCCTAAGCTCTCCAGAGAGCAGAGCAGCACAAGACTTACCTGGGGTGCTGTGGCTCCCAGCTTCAGTACAGGCCTGGTCTTGAAATGTGAAGTAAGTGAAGCTCCAGTCAGGAGTTCTTCAGATCTTCTTTCCTACCTTTGGATACCGATATGCACCCAAGAACCCCGGTTTCTGAAGCAGAAGGACCTTTCAAGACGATCTGCTCCAAACCCTTCATCTTACAAAGAAGGAAAGCTGGCTCTGTAATGGCCACATCACAGCCATGACACAGGGCTTCATGGGTCAGTCTTATGGCCATTGGTTGCTTTGTGTTTTCTGTCTCCACTGAATGGTGGACAGCACTGATGTTCGATGATGCCACAGTGCAGCCTGTGGGTTCAGAAGCAGGCAAACATGTTCATGTTCCAGCCCCGTCCATCCCCAGCTATGCAGTCACAGGCACGTTACGGAAGTTGTCCAACACTCATTTCTTTATTCCTTCATTTTTGCTCTGTTCTGTCTTTACTCCCTAGATGTTAACTATAAATATATTTGCATAAGTGTTTGCTTATTGCTTTCCCTCTGGATCATGTGTCTTGTAAGGGAAGCTACCAAGTACAGTGTATCATGTTCACTACATATCCAAGACCAAGCACACCGAGTAAAGAAATGAAGGAATTGGGCCTGGGATAGCTCAGTGGTTCTGGCACCTGCCTTGCAAGCGAAAGGTCCTGAGTTCGATCCCCGGTACCGAAAGAAAAGAAAAGAAAAGAAATGAAGGAACAAGGGCATGTATGAGTGAAGGAGACGTCACTCAGGCAGAGTTAGAATCTTACTCATGAAAGCTACGTCATTCTGCAGATTCTAAGTCACAAATACCATAGTTCCTGTGGCCACTATCTCTGGATACGTGAGCTGCTGCTCTACCTGCTACTCAAACACACATCTCTCTTAGTCTGTCTCAGTGATGCACCTTGTTTTTCTGATTGCTTGGACCAAAAACCTTCCTCTCCTCCTGGATTCCTCTTTCTCTCCCAGCCAGCATTCAGCCCATTAACAAATGCTGCAGCTGGGCCTTCCTGATACACTGCAGATCTGATCAATTCTCGCTGCTTCCTCTGCTAACCACGTTAGTCCATGCTTCCATCATTTCTCTTGATTATTGCAGCGGCTTCCTAACTTCTGTCTCTGCTTCCATACTTGTGCCATCCTACCATCTGGATTTCATGCGCAGCCAGAGCAGTACAAATCAGATCACGTGATGCCCCTGCTGACATTTTACAGCGTCTTTCTTCCCTTCTGTCTCGCAGTAAAAGGAAAAATCTGAACTCAGCACATGCGTGGAATCCAGATACACGGTGTGAGGATTGCAGGCTTGGGGATAGCCTGGGCAACTTGGCAAGACCTAGTCTCAAATTAAGAAATGAAAAAGGGGGGCCGGGGATTTGGCTCAGTGGTGCCGCTGCCTGCCTCAAAAGCGCAAGGTCCTGAGTTTGATCCCCGGTACCGAAAAAAAAAGAAAAAAGAAATGGAAAAGGGCTGGGGATGTAGCTTAGTAGTACAGTGTATGGTTAACGTATGCACAATCTCCAATCCCTCACAAGAAAAGAAAGGAAAGAGCCCTTAGAATTAACAATAAAGCCCTATACTACCTAGCCCCCTTTACCCTCTGATTTTATCTCCTGCTTTCTCCTCCTAATCATTTCTTCCAACCTTTTCTCAAATTTCATCTCAATGAGGTCTTCCTTAGCTTCCCTATTGAAAACTACACCCTTTAACTTTGTACCCCTTTTCCTGCATGAATGTTCCTTTCAGATAGTGATTATAAACATCCTACATTTTACTTATATTTTTTGTTTCTCTCCACCATCCAAAGATAAGTATGAAAGTGGAGATTTCATCTATTTGTTCATTTCTGTACCCCTGGAACATGTGGCACATAGTAGGTGCTCGGTAAAAATTTATTAAATGAGAATGCAGTAGTGCTTGTATCATGTAGTGTCTTGCTAGGATTAAACAAAATAATGTGTGCTGCTGAGTGCCTAGCGCAGTACCCCACACAGTGTTAGTT